TGGGTGAGTCATATTTTTTCTGTTCCCTCCTCTGCCAAACAAAAGTCACATTGGTGACTTCCCTAGCTCCTTCTAGTTCCAAGGTTCGGATTCCACACGAGAGCTCAGAGAGGCCACAGAATCCATCACAAAGTTGATGCTCTCTTCCTTAGACCCTTGCTAAGGAATCTGCTCTCTGTCTGCTTCACTTCAGAAGACCATTGGGAAGCTCACACGTACCCACAGATGTAGGCATGGCCTCCGTGGAACAAATAGAATGCCAAAAGCAAACAGTTCAAGAACTTCTGAATCCAAACTCACTGGACAGCCTAGTGAATTGGCGCAACTTGGGGAGATACAGAGGCAGTGGCCGTGAGCCTTGGGCCCTTGAGGTTCTTTTCACAGCCAGTAATGAAAGAGGTTCATGGGGCATCCTTTCCAGCCATCCTGCTGCACATCCTCATACACGAGGGCAATGGAGCCCCTACTCCTGCCTGTGCCCAAACAGTATGAACCTAACCAGTGGACCCTGGCTGTCCACATCACATTGTGAAGCCCTTAGAGTATCCTGTTCCTGTCCGTACCTCTCTGTTTCAATGGAAATGCAGTTGACTCAATGTCTTGCAACCATACCTGTTTTCCTTCCACTGCCAAACTAAGGCCTCTGTAAGGTAAACATGTAGCTAGAACATTTTCTGAGTTCTGGGAGTGTTCTCCATGGCCCATCACAAATTTCAAGGGGATTTTAGGAACACAATTGGTATCATGTCAGGGTAGGGGTAGGTTCAAATTCTAGAGGAAAAAAATGGCCGTAAGTGGATAGAGCTGGAAAGAACTCTGAACATCCTCTATTCTGGCTGTCCTATTTACAGAGGATGATCAGAGGCTCAAAAAGAGGGCATTTGCCCAAGATATGAAAGGTAGCAAGTGACAAAGTAGGGATTCCTGTCATTCTAAACCTGCTCTGTGTTCTTCTTCACTGGGGACAGAGGTGGCCCAAGGGATTTGGAAAAAGGGAACTCAGAAGTCAAATATGGCCTGCACCACACTAGCTGTGTGCCCATGGCATAGACCTGCCCACCCTCAGTGGCCAAGGCAATATCTTAAATCTGTCACCATCAAGCAAATGGTCTTTCCGCATTGCTTCAGGGATGGCCTGAATGCCCTCGAGCCCAGTACCTCTCCATGCTGATCTGGGCTCAGTTACCTGGGCTCTCATGGACTTGACAATCCTTGCTCCAGAGCTCTTGGGGACCAAGTTACCTTGTCTAAGACTTCAGCTTTTCTGTACAGAGGGCTTAGCAATGGGATGCAGAGTGGGGGGGTGTTTGGGGGTTTTTTGATAAAGGGTCCACAAGGCTTTGGAGGGTTCTCGTGCTGCCATAAAAAAAGAACAAAATAAAAAGTTGCCTGTTAGCCCATCAGCCTCTCCTCAACCCTGCAACCAGGTGAGGTCTCAGGTGAAAGAAAGCCATTGCTCCTCCATCCTTCCGCACCGAAACCTCTCCCCTCCATCTCACCAGGACTGAGCCCACCACCTCCACATTCTGCCTTAGGATGCTGCGGAGCCATGGACTGACAAGCTAGGGGTGAGGCATCTCTGAATTTCACACCAACCCTTCGGACTCTGCTAGGGGCCAGGCTTCTTTGCAACTTCACAAGCCTTGGACACCTCATCTGTGCCCAGAGCTTTTCAATCTCTGATTCCCCCAGAGTCCATGAGGCCATGGAGAGAAAGAGGAATGGGGCCCCCCAGTCTAGGCAGTCAAGTTGGCAGGTCCCCAGAGCTGAGTCAGTCACTCCAAGTTAGCCTCCCACAGCATGCTTATGCTTTGCAAATTTGTTTTGGCACAGGAGCTGGGGTGCAACCTGTGACTCGACTTACTCATTTGATGGAACAGCCTTTGCAGTTGCCACATTGCTTGAGCAGATGCTCCTTCTCAGTCACCGTGTTGCTAAACTAAGCTGTCTTCTGTGGATCATGCTGCTCTAACATTGCTTTCTTGTTGTTTTTGCTTGGGTCCCGTCTGTCTTTCTTCTGCTTTGCCTTGCCTTCATTGTCTTGCCTTTTCTCCTGCTGCTCTACTAAGTAGGCAAACAAACCCTGAGACACAGTGTGCTCCAGTCACGGGATGGATGGAAGACAAAACAAACAGCTGTTTAAACGTGCCCGGTAGGAAACCCAAGACATTAATTTGTGTCAAAGCAGGTGCTGCAAGAAATCTGTCCTGCAGCCCTTGCTGGAACAGACTCCCCTCAAAGCGTGAGATTGGCCACCTCTGACTTCTGCCAAAGTCCTTTTGCTAGAGTCTCCCCTCCTTCAGCTCTCACTTGCAGAGATATTACACACACCTTTACTGCCAACATACCTGTACTGACAGTAAAGCTATCTGCCCAGAGCTAGGAAGTGAGAGATTCAGCTCTAAGGACTCCCCCAGCTCTTCACAGATGATTTTTTTTGCCAAAAAGCCCTGAGTGCTGCCCTTTCAAGATGAGGCTTCCCTTCATGCATCTCCCTGGCAATCACCACCGTTCCTGGTATGTATGGTGCCCTATTTGACTTATCGCGTGCTACTGCCAATGTTTGAGTCTGTTGGAAATGTCTCTGTGGATTTGGACTTTCTTCTGGGTGATGTCTTCTTGAGACATTATCCTCTGGGCAAGTGCAGCTCAGAAATGATATCAGACCTGTGACGTGCCTATAAACAGCCTATGGTCCCAAGACCTCTGAGTATCAGAGCCCCCAAAGATGAAAGGGCTATGTGTAAGGACCTGGTAGTAGGTCACTAAGCCATAGAACGATGACACCGGGCTCTGCCAGTGGAGCCTGGTCCAGTGGAGTCATTAGGATTGAAGCAAGGGGAGGGTTGAGAACCTCAGATGGAGGGCGGGTTCCGTCAGATTTCCCCATGAGAAATGGAATTTCACCATTCAATTTGGAATACTGGCCAAGAAGCGGTGTGGACTAGGCCCCTAACCTCAGGTTCTCTGTGGGATTGGCACTAATCAAAACTCCCGGGTAGTTATGGGTCAATTACAGAATGGGCAGCTTGATCAGAGTCACAGAAAACAAAGAAACAAGTTTTGGGGAGCACCAAAATGAGTAGTTCCCTAGGATTTCAATTGGGCATGGAACCCGTCTTTTGAGGGTTCTAGTTCATGGTTTTACTGTATGCACATGTGAATGTGGTTGCGAGATGCGTATCTGCCTATGCGGGGGGTGGACATTCCAAATCTACACTTGTATGAATGTAATTTCTCTGGTCTTTTCCATTCTGTTAATGGACCCTTTGAGGGCTCCACATTTTTATGATAAACCTATATTCTCTAAATGATGCAGCAACAGTAAAATAACATCCCTGTCACTTTACAATGACTAGCCACCTCAGCCAACCCTGAGTAGAATTTTTCCTCTTCACAAGAAAGTGCAGGTAAGTATCAGCCCTCCAGACCTAAAGTGTGGGTCCTTGGATTCTCAGGTCTCCTAGAAGAATGGGTGTGGGGAGGGCTCCCAGCTTCTATTACCTACCCCTTATGGATCCTGGGAGCAGGAGAGGGGAGGAAGACTAAGCTTTGTCATTACAACTTGGATTTATTTTACCTTCTCATTCAGAGGTTCTTAGTGCCTCAGGCAGAGAGTCTAGAAAAAGGGGGCTCTCTTGATGACGAAACCCTCTTGGCCAATTTAGGTCCATAGCATCAGCTCACTGGTGGCACCTCTTCCTGCCTGGCTCCTACTCTGAGTCTGGGCCGCTCCTGCCTGGGGAAATCATAGAAATGTAGGATTGATTTGGCTTCGCCCAATATGAGCCCCTTCTTGGGGGTTCTCCAGAGCTCACCGATGATGGAAAGCACACATACTCATTGGACAGTTTTGAACCCTGGGCAAGCAGAGATTAATGCCTACCAGCTCGCTTGACCCTTCTATTGATATTTCTCTAGAGAACAGACTATGGGACCAGAAAAAGGAGGAGATGGTTGATTCACTAAAAAAAAATAACACCCTGATCTATCTGGCCTACACTAAGCAGATCTCCACCACAGCCTACTCGCAGGACTAGTCTAATCATTCAGTGTGATTCCCGGGCGAAGGCAGTTATGGCAGTCGTAATCTCCTTTGGTTTGCTTTCAGCTGTAGGTGTTTCAAATGCTACCTGGGATCTATGTATGCCAATTGGTGGTCCTCCTTGGAGGTCTGCTGACCAGCTCAGATTTGCATCCTAACTCATACCCTACTTGTCTTGCAGCTCCAGACATCAGCAGCACTTGCTTGAGCACACCTTCCTGTGAGGTAAGCTTCTTCTTCCCCAAACCCTGGGAGAGGCTTTTCCTCACTTCCACTCCTCAGCTCCACGAGTGGTGAGTTGTTTATCAAGGTCCTACTAGGACCTATGAGAAGAAACTGAGCTAGAGATTCGTAAAAGCCTTGTGTGGAGATGAGGAGTCCATCGGTTTGGGAATGATCAGTTTTTCAAACGTGCCTAGAGGTTGGGGAGGGGTGCTCATCCTCAACAGAGCCATGTCCACTCTGCGTATTTCTGATCTCTTCCAGGCCTATGGGCCTCCTGCCCATAGATCAGAGACCCATGAGCCTTCTCACCCCCAAACAGTGTTAACAGAGCAAGAAGAAGAGTTTCTGAGAAGCCCTGGGTAAATGCCTCAGGCATCTGTCCCCTTTTCAAAGAAATCCCCAGCCAAGAAGGGAAAAGGGCAAGGAGGTACAATGCATGAGATCAGGAGAAAACATGAGCCCGTGCTCAAGTCATGTCTTTACTTACCAGCATCATTGACATTTGGAATTTGGGAGGGGTAGCTCAGTTATTTTTCTGCGGGTGTCCAGAGGCCCATTCATGTTCTCCTCAACAGACTTGGAAAAATGTGGGGTTTATTTGATCTGACCTGGGTTTCAACCGCTGAGCGAAGTTTCAGGAATTTCTCATAGCAGCTTTTTTCTTCCCCTCTAAGGAAGACCAGGACTCTCAACTGAACAGCCAACTGATAATGTTTCCTAGGCGCCCGAGTGGAAGCAGTGTGCAACCATGAGTCTTCTAATACCCAGACTTAGGATACTCTCCAGGTAAGAACAGCAAAAAGGCAGTCTGATGCTTCCTCTCAGTGTGGAAAAGACTGTCTCCAATGGTCATGTGCCCCCACCTTCCGAGCAAACCGAACCCTCGTAGGTAAGCACCACGTGCTGCTAGATAGAAATTGATCAATGATGCTCATTGCAGAAACACCAGCCACTCAACCCTTTCCGTAATTTTTGAAATCCTGAAATCAAACAATGAAGTGGGCTCTTTGTGGAGGTCATAGGTTTCCTTTCGATGGGGCTCTGTTTTATCTAGGAGTGGAAGCTAGAGGAGGGAAAAGCCATTCATTGAGGAGGGAAAAGAAAAGATAAAATAGTCCAATCTCAGCCTAGATGTCTTTCAGGATCCAGTCTAACTCCACAAGGCCATCTATTGAGGAAATTGAGGTGAGGGGAGGGGTGAGAATGAATGACCTACTAGCCAAGGTTAACATAGCACGTTCTCGCTTTTCATGGTCAACAAGAGGAAAAGAATAGCACCCAAAAGGGTGGTGATGACCCTTTTCTTTTTTCCATTCCTTTGCTGGGATAGTGAGAGTCAGATGACATGTGAATAACAGCTTACCTGAGAGCCACCTATCAACTCCTCTCCATGGTCCCCACAGGCCTCACCAAGGCACAAAGTGAATGGGCCCGACATCTTTGAGGTGGCCCATCACTGACAGAGATGGAAAAGCACAGTGTGGGACCACTTAAAGATGTTTGCTCTGAGGGGATGAACCTCTTCTTGGTTTTTTCTCCCTTTCCAGATTATTTATGCAAGAACAAACATGTGATTAAAAGCTCCTCTATGCCCACGTTTGTCACATCCTAGGACCCCTGAAAAGGGATTTTCCTTGTCTCTTGTGGGGGAGGGGGAGGTGATTGAAGGAAAGACGTAAAGAATGATACACATACTACATTAGTCTCTTTATGGGGCCTATTCATTAACTGAGGTCACTACAGAAAACACCTGATTATGGGGGGGGTGGTTAATTCATTAAGCAAATGTCATTCTGCACTGAAAGTCTCATGCAAATCTTAGACAGACGTTATACTGTGCCTGCAATTAGAAAGTAACGAGTTTTTGCACAAAGCTCATATAATCATGAATAGACTTATTCACAAATGATTTATGTTACAACATGTCAGAACAAATCTCCAACAGGCCCTCGTGGCCTGCAAAACAGAGTTGCCTCAGCAGTTTTGGGGGCATGGCCACACTCTGGGAATGACCTCTCTTCTCCCAGTTCCCAGCATGGGAAGCCTTTGGTTTGATCTGGCTTATTCCATCCATAGTACCAGTCTGTGGCTTATAGCTGGAGAGACAGGAAAAAAACCCAGTAATGACAAGGACTCCATCCAGGTACCCACTTAAGACATATGGAAAGGAGAGGCATTTGTGTCCAAGCTTCTGAGCCCAATACCTCAGTGTATCTCTCTCTCTCTCTACGTGAGGGTAGACTCATAAGCATGCCAAGTGAGAGAAGCTTTGTCTGTCTCTAAAGGGAATGTGGCCACAGGGTGGGATTCCAAGTGATCAGATAGATTCCTTCAGGGTCTCAGAGGCACTCAAAAGGAAAGCAGATCCTAATGCCAAGCTACCACATTCATCCCGGGACATCTCCAAAGACCCTCTCTCTAGTGAGACCAGGCTCATGCATCATGAAGTGAGACACAGCTTTGAGTGGAGATGAGCGCAGCCCTAGGACCTCATATGTTTCTTTCCTAGGTTTTGAACACACCACCATTTCCCCACCTAACTTGTCATACAAAGGTATCATTTTTTTTCTTAGCACTCCTTGTTTCCTCTATCATTCAACTTAGATCAGAGGCAAGAACAGGTCTGAGGGTAGATGTGATGTCAGTTCCTTTATCCCTGCCAGGCTCCTGGTGGGCCAGAAGCATCTCCCCTGGGTCGTACAGGCTGCTATCAGGAGGCCCAGACTGCTCTGTCCCAGAGCAAAGGCCTGCAACAGGAAAGGGTAGGAGTCTGCTCAGCATCCAGGCTTGGGAGCCCAGTCCTGAGGCCCATCCATCCTTTGGACAGATTGTGTGATGTCTGAGCATGGAGTGGACTTGGGTGGGGGAGGGGGATGTAGTGTTGTTCAGTGGGAGAAACGAGCCAGCAGGCCTAACCAAAGGCAGGTGTGCCTGGCACCCTGACCTGGGGCTCCTGGGCGGTCTGTTCCTCCCTCCCAAGGAGAAGTGGGTCTAGGTAACTCTTTGAAAGCCTTTAATCCCCTTTTCATTAAAAGCATAGCAGTTATGCAGAAACTCTTGGCCCTTTGTCCAAAGGGGAAAGGCAAGGCCATGGGGGTGGATATTTAATGCGACTCTTTGAGGCTGGGTTAGAGTAAGGCCAGGAGTAGGACAAGAGAGTCCAAGCTCCAAACTTGGAGAGCTGTGGCAGGAAACAACCAGGATCCCTTCCCACTGGGCCTCCTCCCTCGGGCTTTCTGTGATCGTGAGGCATTTCTGTTGGAGTTTCCATTGGTATAATGAGAAGGAACGAGACACAGTGGTGATTCGAACCTGAGAGAGTGTAGGTAAGAGATCAGGGATGGAGAGTGAGGGTGTGGAAGAGGATTCCCTTGGGGGATCATGTCACTAGAATCCTGGAAGTGGTGCTCAGAGAGCATCCCAGGAAAGCATCCCAGGAAAGCATCCCAGGAAAGCATCCCCGATCTGCTACTTGCAGAAGGGAAGATGGCCTGACCGTTTCACCATGCAAGGAAGTAGGGCCCAATGTTTATTTGGTGGGAATGGTGTAGCTACCTTCTTTGTAGGGTCCCTCTGCAGATGTGGTGATAAAATGCCTCGGTTGGGCACATTCTGCTCACAGATGTCTCATGCCCCGAGTGCTCTGCACACCTTTGGGTGGGTCCTAACCTGCCCAAAGAGGACTGTGGCTCGAGCACTGGAAGGTACCTCAGAGGTCACCCTCCTTACCTGACAGGGAAAGAAGCTGGTGCCTGGGGAGGTACAATGACTCCTCTCCCTCTTCCTAGAGTTCTTGCCTCTCTGATCTTTGGTAAGACAGAGTGCTTATAGACAGTTCAGAGGCCCGAGTATCCAAGGAGGGCAGCTGTCAGGATCAAAGAGCAGCCCTCCCCCGACAAGGGTCTTCTGTAGGATAACAGAAGGTAATAAACAGAATGGGGCGGGGGGGGGGGGCATCCAAATGACGTTGGCTTGAGAGAGGAGTCAGCAGCCCTTCCCAAATTATTGGGGGTCTTTTTGCCTACCCAGGGTGACAAGTAACCAACCCCATCAATTCCTCAAACCAGAATTTCAGTTCCTTTTAAAGTATCCAAGGGTCTTCTGATCTGGTTTGATTATTTCACTTGGCAGAATGCCTAGCAAGGCTGCAATTGGTGTCTCTTAACTTTGAAATTCCCCAACAGCTCAGGGACAATGCCCTTCTATGCATTCATTCCCCAATTCAGGTTAGCAGCCTACAAGGGCATAAGAACTTCCTGGAGAGCACTGGTCTTTGAGTAACCAAGACATTCCCAAGATGCAAAAATCTGTTTGACATCCAGTCACCATCATTCAGTCATCTTTGAGGAGTCTGTCTCCATCACTGCAAACAGCAGTTTTCTCCTGAAGTGAGCAAGCCAGCCTCAGAAGTGGGAAATATGGGGGTGGGCTCTGCAAACTATGACTGGAGCCAGTATGACAGAAGAGCAAGCTGCTGGGAGGAGCTCGAGCCCCTGGGGTAGTCACTGTTAGGCTACCATGGCACCTCTGTGGAGAAGAACTGCCCCAAGTCATCTCTGCTCCCTTCTCCTGGGCTCAGGGAGCAGATTGCCAACAACAGCTCTGAAGATTCCCAAGGCAAAGCGAGCTCTGCTTGCCAGGTCTTCTGGCATCCCTGCAAATAAATACAGACAAAAGATTAAATATGCCTAGATGCATGGCAAGATTTTGTCTCAGGAGCTTTGTGGAAAAGTAAATAAACAGCCCAGAAGGGAATTGGGCATCAGGCCTCCATAGAATTCTCTGAGACAGATAGCCTTATTAGGAATTTCTATTAAAAAAAAAAAACAGCCTTCTCCACCTCTAGATGGTCAGTCATGGAGAATGACTCCAAGTGCAGTCAGGGTGCCTGAGGTTTAACCTGAAATTGGAATTCTGTCTTCACCACTCAGTAGCCGTGCAAACTTGGGCAAGTCAGAGGTTAGCTGGAGGCCCAGAGGGGCCGTTTCCTCACCCACCAAATGACAGGGCTGGCCTCAGAGGTCCTTTTAAAGTTTTAGATTTAATGTGCCAAAACATCTGTTATGGCCCAGGAGAGATAACACTTTGAAATATGCATCACCACCCTCCACCAGTGCAGAGCAAAATAAGATGTCAGCTGTTTTTCTCTTAAATAACTCTCTAGCTACACCATCTAGCAAAAATTCAGCTTGGGGACTCATTGCCAGAGAGAGAGAGGATTAGAATGCCAGGGGCCTGGGCCTATGGCAATTGGCAGATAACCAATTCCCCCAAAGGACATTTTATCAAACTAAATAGAGATGATATCTAAGTGTGAGGTAGAATCCCGTCACTCCGTGTCTCCCCAGACCACAAAGCTCAAATGTGCTAGTCCCAGCTCTAGATAAATAACTCAGAAATGGGCCCCAGAATTCTCGGTAACCTGACTCGGGCAGCATCCCACATGCTGAAAATGTGGTCCCTCTCCCCATGTGGGATGCTCCCTTACCCTATACTAGGGCCGTCATAGAGAGGTCCTCAGAAGAGTTGCATTGCCAGCTCCATGGCTCAGGTGAACAATGGGGCTCTGGTTCTCTGTTCCTTTAGCTTACAGGTGAGAGGTCTCAGACAGATTCCATTGAAATACAGCTATCAAAATGTAAAAACCTGAACCTGGCCCACGGCCCTGGATTCATGGTAAGACGCCCTGACTGTGCTGACTGTGCTGTCTGTGCTGTCTCCTTTTCTAGTGTCCTACAAAACAGCATCATGGCTTTGCAACTAAGCCGCAACATGACTGACGACGGCATGGATGAGTACACAAACAGCACCGATAACTCGACCGCCCCGACCTCAGCTCCCGGACACATCCGCAAGAACTGGCCTGCCCTCCTGATCTCCATCGTCATCATCATCACTGTTGCTGGCAACATCCTGGTGATCCTGGCCGTGGCCCTGGAGAAGAAACTGCAGACCGCGACCAACTTCTTCTTGATGTCTCTGGCCGTGGCAGACATGTTAGTCGGGTTATTAGTAATGCCGGTGTCTGTCGTCACCATCTTCTACGGTGAGTCTGAGGATGTTCTCTGGCCAGCCCAAAGCAGATTACTGTCAATAAACAGGGCAAGAGTGGCCCTAGAGTATGACCTGGCTGGCATCTGCTCCCTTCCTTGGGAGCCACATGGAGGCACTCAGTAATAGGGTGACAGGATGGGTGCCCCCAAGCCCATGTCTCACCTTAATGGGAAAGTCATTCATGTCCATGTGTCTCAGTTTCCCTCCCCAAGCTCCTTGACAGGAGTTCAGTTCATTGGAGGTTATGAGGTCTCCAGAGAATGCAGGAGAGGACCGTCCCTGGGAGTCCCCCTCTAGCTCCTCAGCTGGTTTCAGGGTGACCTTGAGCTCATAGTGGCCACATTTCCCAGGCCTTTGGGGAAACATGCTGGCTCACGTCCACAGAACTATGCTGTGGAGCCAACTGGGTCATCTAACACACTCACCCGGATACCCACAAAGAAGCTTTCCCAGACAACACTGTCACCTGACTAACCTGAAAAGCAATCAGAAACGAAGAAGGCCAGCGGTTCCAGGTAGCCCTCTGGCCTAGGACCACCTCCAAAATAGAGAGATCCTCCAGCCATAATCTGGCCCTGGATTGGACACCACGAGCCCACTGGAAACATAGCCATGCCAATGGCCGTGTGTCTGATGCCAGGGAAGGATCTACCTAGCTGCACCCTTCACTGCCTGCTGTCCTTGGAGGAAGGCTCAAGCCTGGAACAGAAGACCACACCCACAGGTGTGCCTAGAAGTTTAAACCTCCACTCCACCCTTGAAGTTATCTATAAGCAGGAAGGTCAGTGCCCCCCAGAACTGTGGCCTTCCAAGGATGAGCCAGACTAGAAGTCCCCCAAGAAGAGTGCCTGGCATCCTGCCCCAGCCAGAGAGTCACCAGCCAGTCTCCCAAAGTGGACCCAATATTAACCAGCAGGATCACAACAGAGCCTTCCCTCCGGGATCCCTGAGTGAAGACTCGGAAGCATATCCAGGAAGAGACACTTTGGGAGATGCTACTGACCTGCCTGGATTGAGACTTCCATCTCCCTCTGTGATCCCTCCAGATCTTCCTGGAGCTAGATTCTCCCTGACAGACACCACAGGATAGGTTCAAACAAGGGTTCATCACCTTTTTGGTGGCTATGGCCCCTTGATCAGAATAATGTTTTTAAATACATAAAATACATGGAATTACAAAGGAAACCAATTAGACTGATACGTAGTTACCAAAACATTTTCTTTAAAATGTTCACAGACTTCAAGTTAAGAATCCCTACTCTACAAAAAACCATACTTAAAGCCCCAGATGCCAATCCAAGCACCACCTTGCAGTACCCAATGCCCCAGGAGACGACATATATCACTCCCCACCAAAAGTTAGCACATCCACTCTGACAAGAAGTATCCCTTTCCTAACACTTACTCAATGGGTGATGCTAGCAGGGATGGCACTTTTGGACAGCTCAGGTAACTTTTCATTCCAACACCTGCCTCAACTCAGACTTACCCTGTTCTTTTACATCTTTCTTGGTTTCACAGAATACACCTGGCCTCTTCCAAAACAACTCTGCCCGATGTGGATCTCCCTCGATGTGCTCTTCTCGACCGCGTCCATCATGCACCTCTGCGCTATCTCCCTGGATCGCTACATTGCTATCCGGAACCCGATTGAGCATAGCCGCTTCAACTCTCGCACCAAGGCCCTTCTGAAGATTGCCATTGTCTGGACCATCTCGATGGGTAAGTTGGTCTGCCCTTGCCCCTTAAATGATGACACAGGGGCTCCATAAGCAGTGGCCAACATTTATTCACACATCAGCTCTAACAAGCTATTGGGGGGGGAGAGAGTGGAGAAACAGGTAAGATTCTATGACAACTTCTAGATTATGTGTTGGTATGGTTGTCTTCTGCATACCGACTAGAGTGTCACGGGATGTTGGAGAGGGAAAAGATTGGGCCAAAATTCCTACCCCAAACTCGGCCTCTAATGCACAACTATATTCAAAGATAGCTCTAAGTCCCAACCCTCATCTACCTGCAAATGGGCCCACAACCATCCAATTAATCGGTAGCTCTGTCATAGAATCCCAGAGCATCACACAGGTAATTTCTCTCCCATGGAGACAGCAGATGGTACATCACATATAGGAAACAGATCATAGGCAGCCATACTGGAATAGAGGACACATCGAGATGAAATATCCAAAGGAGACATGGGAACCTCTATGATAGGCTATCCCATCAATAGTCTATATTTTGAAGTGAGCCAATTAGGATTTCTAGGTAGTCAAGGCACACAGATCAGGTCATCAGGAATACCACTTTGACCAGTGGCACAGACCAGGTGGCAGACTTCCACACCAGGCACCAAACACAGGAGTAGAGAGGGCATGAAGTTAATATATACAAAAGATGCCATATGGGAAATTGACAATGGTAGACAACCAGTCTAATAAAGGGGTTGAATATAAAATATAGTAACACTCCCTAGGTGGTGGCAGGGGAGGGGAGTGTTAAGCATAATAACTTCCTTTGGGGACCTATCAAGTTGCTGGTGTTTCCCCTAATTAGCTGATAGGGCAGGCTAGATTTCTTGAGAAAGATCAAGGATAGAAAAAGAGATATCTATAGCTAAGAAACCCAGTAACTAGCAATCTACCAGATTTGCAAGTAGTTAGAAACAACCTTCCCCATAAATCTATACTGACTTGGCAACAATGATTTCAAGGAGAATACAAAATACAAACTAGTTCTCACCATGAACAGTTCTGAGATCTGAAATGCTCCTCCTAGCTACTAGACAGCTGGTCCACCCCACCCCCATGTGTTGCCCAAGTGAGCAGAGATCATCTTCTATGAACCAGGTACCTGTTACTTCAGTGAACCTCCTGTAAAAGTACCCCAAGGTCCCTGGCCTGAGTACAATGAGTAGTGACCCCTGAACTCCAAACCTTGATTCAGCTGAGCCTCAGATGTCTCTGGCAGCACCATGGGCCAAGCCTCAGTGACTCAGAGCGCAGTACTCTCATTCCAAGACAGAGACAAGCACTATATTAATAAGGGACAGTGCAGACACAGTGATAGCGAAGATTTATTCAGCACTCACTGTGTGCTAAGCACTTCATCATTATTATCTCATTATCTCATGATCCCCATTTGAACTCAGTTCTTCCTGACTCCAGGTCCCCTGTGCCACCTTGCTGCCCCCAGTGACTTGTCTGAGGAGACGTGAGAGTTCATCTTCTCCATTTCATACTTTCTAATACAGAGAATATTAAAAAAAAAAAAGCCCTCATACAAAAGTAAGTGAATAATGTAAATTCTGCATGAGCAAACTTTAGTCCGTCTTCCATGGCCACCTCTGATGTCAGTCTTTGACTGTACGCCACTTAGGTCTGACTAGTTCTAGAAGAAGAACACTCCTGCTCCTCTACCTGGCCACTTCTCACCTTTGGAATGACACGCCCAGGGACATCTATTCCACTGGCTCACAGCTTAACAGATCCTAGACATGTTTTCCTTGAAAATGCCGCTAGGGGGCATCACCCTGGATAGAGCACCAGGCCCGGAGTCAGGCAAGAAGAACAAAGTTCAAATTCAACCTCAGTTCCTGGCTGTGTGACCCTAGGCAAGTCCCTTCTCCTCTGTAAAACTGGAGCACTACCTCCCTGAGTTGTTGGGAGGATCAAAGGAGATAATAATTGTGAAGCACTTAGTACAGTGCCTGGCACATAGTAGGTGCCATAGAAATGCTTATTCTTTTCCCCCTATAAGCACCTATTTAGACAACTATTCTCATGAATCCCAATGGTCAAGGCAGCAGTTGGGGCATTAGAGCTAATGTTGGCAAACAGAAACAACGTGTTCTCTTTCTCAGGATGACCTTTCATCTGGTCTCAGAAATAGGTCATAGCATATTATTCTCCAATTATAGATAACTGGCAGATAAATAGTACCTACATTCAAGGATTTCTGATAGGGACCCCAGGTACCTACAAGGTGTCTACCCAAGAGTCTACAGCAGAAATCCCCAATGGCATTCAGAAAGCTGATTCTATCAACTATCAGAACCAAAGGGGAATGGGGGCACCGGGAAGAAAGGGAATCCAAATGCCCTCAATATTGAACTCACAGATCTGTGGCATGGGTGCTTGATATATCATTGAGGGTAGTCCAGTAGCACAGTACCAGGCCCAAGGCTTCAGTGAGGCACTGGGCTGTTGATTGACCTAAGGCTGTTTGTCTTCAAAATGGGGAATGACTGGAGAGTCCATATACCCCAGAATTGGTTCTTTCCAAAATGGAAGACACATCCAGGCTGTCTTTTCCCTACTATGTCATTTGAAAGACCCTAACTCCTCAGACCAATTTGACCCATATCCTACCCCTCAAACTCCCTTGAGGAACTAAGGCATGCCCTTACTTCCAACTTGGTGCTTACTGCCCACTGGGCTCAGCCTGTTGAGATTCAGAATCAGAGTCACTCCCAGTTCCAAAGGGTCATCGTGTTGGATCATCTTCAGTGACAGCAACTGAGGCTGGGATGTCAAAGTGGACCAGCTGGCCTATGCTCTTGACTCTACTCAAAATAATCCTTTTGTCGTTTTGCTCTAGCTGTGTCTTTGCCCATCCCGATCATCGGCCTGAGGGATGAGAGCAAGGTCTTTGTGAATGGAAGCTGCAGCCTGAACGAACCCAACTTTGTGCTCATTGGCTCCTTCGTGGCATTTTTCATTCCGCTGTTCATTATGGTCATCACTTACTGCCTGACCATCCAGGTCTTGCAGGGCCAGAGCAGCGTGTTTGGGCCCGGGGAGAGGCGTAGGAGGCGCTCTAGGTTTGGTTGCCTGCGGAGGGAGAGGAGTGCCCACAACATCTCTATGATTCACAATCCCAATACTGGGGTGCCTGTTCGTCTTATTTCTCCAGGCCATCGGGAGGGCTATCGTAAGGGAACCATGCAGGCCATTGCTAATGAGCGTAGGGCTTCCAAGGTGCTTGGCATTGTCTTCTTTCTCTTCCTGCTCATGTGGTGCCCGTTCTTTATCACTAATATCATGGCAGTTATTTGCACTCAGTCTTGTCGCAAGTCAACTCTCGATGAGCTCCTGAGCGTGTTCGTTTGGGTTGGATATGTGTGCTCAGGCATCAACCCCCTGGTGTACACCCTTTTCAACAAGACCTACCGCCGGGCCTTCCTCAAGTACCTTAGCTTTGGATGGTTGGGGAGAACCAAGAGCCCTCCCAGGCAGCTCCCAGTCAGTGCTGCTAACCTGTACCCCAGGGAATACACTGGCCGGCAGTACACTGGGAGGGACTTTACCCCAAGGGTATTTGTCCCAAGGGAATACAGCCCCAGCCATGATGAGGATGTGCCCCAGATTGTCCCCCTTGAGGATAGACCCAATACTGAAGTAGTTGAGGTAGTGATTGAGATGGAGCCTTGCTCTCCCCAGCCGGTGGAAGCAAGAGTTGAGGATACCTGTACTATGGTCAATGAGAAGGTCACTTCTGTATAAGAAGGTCTTGTCCCGAGCTTCGGCTCAACGTGATGACCCGGCATAGGAAATCCAGTCGAGTAAATTAGCACAGGAGATTGACTCGCAAGAATTTCCTGTGCCGCTTTGAGATCCTTGTAAATATAGCATTCCAAGCAAAGGTGTTTGAGTGTGGCTTTGCAATCTTGTACTTTGATTCATGCCCATGAGTGAAGTTTAAAGTTTTATATTTACTGTACACAAAAGATTTCTAAAAGACCAATTGTCCGAATCTGTTCTATTGGCAGACTAAAAAAGTCAACTTCTTTTTAAATATTGGAGGAAGAAAAGGGCTGTCTCTCTTGGGTGGCACTTTCCTAGAAACCCAAGAAGGTGCACATAGCCATGGCCCCAGGCCACACTAAAATCTACCCACTTGGAAGCACGTTTTTCCAGACTGACAGTAAATATATGCTTTATATTCTTCCTCTCTTCATGCATGCACATTATCATGATGAGATGGGGTTCTGGCCTCGGAAACTCACCAGTGCTATCCAGCTACTGAGGGGTTCTCCATCAGGGGTAGAACTAAGCCTTGTTCAATCTTGGGGTGAACCAAGACATTGTCTGAAAGTTTGAGCTAATTTTATTGGCATTTGACGACAATGTCTATCCCCCAAACATAGTGATATGCTACCATAGCAGCTAGGTAACCAGGACCGTGGAGTGGAAGGACAATAAGAGATACATATACCACTAGCTTATCACCTCCCGAGGACCACATTTCAAATTTGGATTTCGGCACCAAATGATTGGAAATTAGCATTCTCTTGGTGGTCCTCGGTCAAAAAACCTAGTCCCACAATGGAGCTCAGTGATACAATCCCAAAGCTATTTACCCATTCTGGGATTTGAGATTCCCTGGGAGGTCAAACCCTTGATCCTAGAATTCCTTATTGCTTTAGAAAATAATCAAGCAAACAAAAAAAAAATCAAAAGGCAGATTTACAGTACCTTCTAGCCTTATGTGGACAGAGATTTTAGGAGAAAAATAATGAACTAAAAGAAACAATCAAGTACCTCTCTTTAGGGCAAACTTCTGTAGTCCTTTCTCAAGCAAAGCTTATAGCAAGAGCTTGAAGGGTAACACCTGGAAAGTCAAGAGGAGGAGACTTTACAAGTCTTAACTTGATTCAGTACTACGGAAGTAGGCCCTTGGAATGTCAATCTATCAAAATGCTTATCTGACTCTGGAAATAAAAAGAAATACAGAGTTTCCATTGGATTTTTCAAAGCTAAAGTTATCTCCTTTTTGGCTCCTTCCTCACGTTAGCTAGTGCAAGCAAAGGCTGCAGCTGATTTGTGAATCATGTTACAATCACGTACAAGAAGTTAAGCCTTGTGACCAATTTGTGTTGTGTTCTAATTTGTGTGTTCTTTGTGGATCTGCCGCTCTCTTAAGGATTCCATTTCAGTTCCATGACCATCCTCACTCAGAGCCCCAACAATAGGGCCTGAGAATTACTCACGTCTGGTCATCCAGTCTATGCTATGTGCAGAGTAGACAAGTGTTCCCAGTGGTTGTGTTTCTGTTCATGTGTCCATTTCACACAGATCTGTGGCTTTCCCGGAGGATTCCATGATGCTAGCTTATGCCCAACATTATTTGCACGGCCTCCGAGTGTACGTTCCAAACTCTGGAAACTGGAGGTGGCAGAATCTGAATACCCAGAACCCCGGGGCCCAATCTTTGACAGCCAGCTTTGATGCAAGCAGCAGTCCGTGCTCGTGAAAAATCCAATGTGAGATCACCTACCTATATAGACAATGAAAACCGAGGGGCAGTGGGAGAGCCACCACACTGGGCAAAACCAGGGTGGCCTCAGCCTGCTTTGCAACACTGCCAGGTGTCGGTCATTTCTTCGAGCATGGATTTCTCCTTCCCCCCCCCCAAAAAAAAAAGCGTCACAAGAAAGTCCAAATCAACTTGCCCGTCTGCTCTGTTGAACCACGTCTAAGCGTTCCCGCTACCAGCCGGACGAGATCTAACTCGTCCATCCCAAAATGACACCGTCTAAAGAAACCCGTGTGTCACACAATTCCATCTCTGTGTGTTTCTGTACAGCAGGGTAGCTGAAACAACAAGGGACTGAAACACCACCTTTAGCAGCCCTCAGGCTGATTCAAGATCACGTTCCCCTCCCCACCCCACCCCTTACCCTCTGGTTCAGATCTGAAGTAATGAGTATCGGAGAAAAGGGGAAACATCTTATTTCTTCTGTCAAATATAAAGGGCAAGCTCATAGCACATGTTAACAGAAATCCTTTGAAAAACCCACAGACTTCCAGTTGCACTAGCAATAAACTCCAACGATAACTAGCTTAGAGCACATTTGTGGACAGTCTCCATATTGTCACACAGTAGCATCAAGCAAATCACACATGGTCATGGTTCTCCAACTCCTGTGCTAATCACCAATTTTCTGTGTTCAATAGTAAACTACTGTCTATATCTACAAGTTATCTTAATGTCTATTAACTATCCTAGATGTTTAAAAAAACAAAAAAAATTTGCTTGATAGATTATTAATAGATGATTAATTGCAACCTTAATGTTCAATGAAATCTCTATATTGATGTATTATTATAATCTCTATATTAATGATAAGAGTTAAGGATTGCCTCGTATACTCCCTTTCTCCCTGACCCCTTGTCTGAAGGTAATCTTTTGTGAACGATCTCTAAGTAGCATGCTGTCAAGATACCTGGTGCCTAGCTATATCACCTGCACCAGATCTTTGTGAAATTTCTCTTAATTTATTAAATAGTAAGTGTTCAATTACTCTTGCTTCTGTAGTCTTTTCTTTCAACACCGGAATGCATCCAACCTTCACCCAAGCTGACTGAGGGTGGAGTGAGCAGAATTTGACCCCAGGGGGTTGGCCCTTATGAAAAGAAGAGACCTCAGCACCCCAGGAGTGAAAACACTTGGGGTCAGTGAGAGGCTCCCAGGAAGGATGGCCCCGCTCTCTCCATGCCCAGTAGATTGCAGGGCTGTCCCCACCCCGCCCCTCACGAAAATGCAAAGACAACACGAACGTACTGGTGAGCTGATCATTGGTTCCAACAACCACCACTTGCCCTGATCAGACCAGGCTGTCTATTACAAGCCATCCCCTTCGGAACAATGGCATAAGCCTTCCCCAGTACATCTTTGGCCAGACCTCCTACTTGATCTCTGAACAAGAACCCAAATAGGGGACCATGGCTAGGGGATATCCCCAACTATCCCTTGCTTGTACAGGGGGGTCCTAAAGTCTTTAATAGCTTACAATTGCACTAAGGCTTTTGGGATGTTCCATATTAACAATAGCCCCCAGGTGTAAGCTCTGAACCTTGTAACAAAATAATCTCATCACTAATTCCTTGGGTGATTGAGCCCTTAATGCTACAATTTAATTACCTATACTAGATCTCTAAAGCTCCAGATTATCACCTCAGGAGACTGTCCTTCTGACAATGGCATGGTTACATCCCTTCCATCAGGCTCAGTGACCTTTCTCACAACTCCTATCAATCAGTGACCAAAAGGAGTACTACCAAAAGGTAATATAAACCATCTTGTCTGAGCATAAAGGAGCAGAGTCCCATACACCAGGAAATGTGTGGTTACCATTCCAGGCTTTCAGTGAGAATGACTAGAATCTGCGGGCCACACCAGCCTGTGCCACTCTCTGACACCTGTGCATTCTCAGAGGCAATGAGAAGGAAAGTTAGGTAGTACTGTGGGGATATCTGGGAAAGGATTATTACCAGAAGAGATCCTTGAGTGGGACCCACTCCCTAACATTTGCTTTTAGGCACTTAGGAGGAAGGTAGAATTCCCATCCCTTACAGACTGCTACACTCTAGAAGTATCCAGGGAAGCTGGACAAATGGATTCCCAGGAAACTACAGGGCAACTCAGGCAGGTTGATTCTCTCAACTAAGCCCCACTGTGTGGCACATGATGCTCAGGACCATGAAATTCAATGGGATGCAGATAGGCTAACTAACTCCTGGCCCTCCCAGTCCACCATCCAGTCCACAACCATAGATTTCTCTCCAACCATAGGCCAGCATAGTGCTAGGCACAAGGGACACAGAGACAAAAATTCAGCTAGTCCTGCCCAGTAAAAGCTAACCATCCACGGGGCTCAACTTAGACATTGGGGAGAAAGGAAGCCGAGAGATGAGCCCCCTCTCACCTTTCCCTACCTCTCCCCTGATTGTAAGCCCTGAGTCCACAACGGCACATCAGAAATGTTTTCGCTTGAAGGTAAAGGCCGTAGATGGGGCCGGGGTACAGGAAGAAACATACTCTTAGGGAAAAAGAAATACATCCCCTCATCTCCAGATGAGTCCTGTTGGTCCATTTTAGGTGAAATGCGAGATTATTTTGTAGACTGGGAATAGTTTTCTGAGCTACATCCTATGGAAGTCCAAGATAAACATGATCGCTATGTATAGAGGGAAGAGGATTTTGTGTATGCCTTGGGTGGCCAATGACCAGTTAGAAGAGGGGGCATATGAATCGGCGGCGCCACCATTCCAAGTTGCCATAGATTCGCCATGCCTGTTCACTGGCCTCTCTCTGAAGGGACCCAGCCCCGCAGAACGCCAAACCCTTGGCATAGCCAGTCCTTACAGTAGAAGCATACAGCCCCATCCTTCCTCAGACAAAAGGGTGGGGAGAAAGTGAGAGGGCACTCCTGGGCTACCACTGTAGCCCCTAAGCAGTAGTATGAAGCAGCAGCCCAGCAGCCCAGAGCCAAAGCCTTGGGGAGATGGGTCTGCCTATGCTGCATTTCTCCATGGGTTGGGGGGGAAACACGGAAGTGCCGCAGAGAGCAATAGTTCTAGTAGACATTGCCTTGGATCCTGGATCTGGTAGACTTGGATAGAGCCAGTGGTGTGAAGGGCAGCCTGCCCATGCCTCACTCCCTCTTACAGCTGCCATACAGGGACTGCACAAAAAGCCCATGAGCCTTGGTCACAATCTG